CCAGGTGAGCAGGGGTGCTAAGGGCTCCCCTCCACTGCCAGGTGAGCAGGGGTGCTGAGGGTTCCCCTCCCCCACCAGCCAGGTGAGCAGGGGTGCTGAGGGCCCCCCTCCCCCACCAGCCAGGTGAGCAGGGGTGCTGAGGGCTCCCCTCCCCCACCAGCCAGGTGAGCAGGGGTGCTGAGGGCCCCCCTCCCCCACCAGCCAGGTGAGCAGGGGTGCTAAGGGCTCCCCTCCACTGCCAGGTGAGCAGGGGTGCTGAGGGTTCCCCTCCCCCACCAGCCAGGTGAGCAGGGGTGCTGAGGGCCCCCCTCCCCCACCAGCCAGGTGGGCAGGGGTGCTGAGGGATCCCCTCCAATGCCAGGTGAGCAGGGGTGCTAAGGGCTCCCCTCCACTGCCAGGTGAGCGGGGGTGCTGAGGGTTCCCCTCCCCCACCAGCCAGGTGAGCGGGGGTGCTGAGGGCTCCCCTCCCCCACCAGCCAGGTGAGCAGGGGTGCTGAGGGCTCTCCTCCCCCACCAGCCAGGTGAGCGGGGGTGCTGAGGGCTCCCCTCCCCCACCAGCCAGGTGAGCAGGGGTGCTGAGGGCTCTCCTCCCCCACCAGCCAGGTGAGCGGGGGTGCTGAGGGCTCCCCTCCACTGCCAGGTGAGCAGGGCGCCTGCCTCACCTGCAGCATCTGCAGGGGTGTGTGCTCGTCCCTGTCTTCCAGTGTCAGCAGGAGCCTCTCCAGGGCATGGCTCTGCTTCTCCAGTGTGGCTGTGCTCTCCCGCAGCCCGGCCACTACCTCGTCCTCCTGCTTCAGGGCCTGGAGGAGGCACTGCTCCTTCTCAAGCAGGAGGAGGCCCATCTTCTCAAACTCCAGCAGGATGCACTGCCTGTGCTCATTCACCTTCACCTGCCGGGGGGGGGGGGGGGACAGGGGATGAGGGGCAGCCCCACAGCCGCTGCTCCCCCAGGTGTCCACTCTCTTCCTGACCAGCCGCACCCACCAGCTTGGATACTGGCAGCCCTCCACCCCAGGGCCCTGACGACCCCCAGAAAATAAGCCGTCCCTGGAGGGGTGGGAGTGTCTGTGGGGTACCAGGTGGGGTCCCAAGCAGCAGCATGCGGCCCTTCGCGGGCCCTCCGTCCCATGTCTGTGACGCGGCCAGCCTGGGCCAAGCACACGTCCTGATTCTAGCGGGGCCTCCGAGCTCTGGGTGTGTTCTCATCCACAGAGGACAGCGATCTCCCCCCACCCCCCACCCCATGGGGCTGCTGTGTGCGCACACCCCAGCCCCCAGCACCTGCCTGCCACTCGGCCAAGGTCTGTTTCTCCCTGGCCTGCAGCTTCCCCAACTTCATCATCTCCTCCCGAAGGTACCCCATGTCCGCCTCCAACTTCAACTGTGGGACACAGCAGCATGTGGGGTCAGGGCCCCTCATACCCTGGCATCTGGACGGCATCCCCTGAAGCTGCACCCCCCTCAAAGAACACCGTGAGGGGGTGCTGGGGGTGGACACACGCCACCCAAAACGTGCCGCTTTCCAACAGTTATTTTGGGCTGGAACCAATCGAGAAGGAACAGCAGCAAAAAGACACCCTCCCAGGGCTCCCCTTTTCTGACTGAGCACCCAAACTTCTGAGAAGTGAGAGGAGCCATGAATCCCCTCTCCTGGGAAGTTTTATGGCCGAATAGGAAGAAGGACCTGTACAGGCGCCAAGATGAAGCTGAATCCTGACCCCAGCCCCACGGTGTGAGGATGGGGGCGGGGAGGGCGGGGGAGGTGCTGAGGCCCCGAGGGTGGAGCCCCCAGGAGCGGGATTAGTGCCCTCGAGCCTCCCGCCCAGTGAGGACACAAGGCAAAGACTGCCCCCCAGGAACCAGGGCGCGCTCTCTTCCCCAGCGGTGCTGGATCCCTGACTGGTGGACCTGGGTAGGGCCTTCTTCAGCCCGGACTCCCGAATAACCGTGGCCTGGCTGCCCACGCGGCTGTGGGAGCACACAGACACTCGCCACGCGGTCCCACACGTGGGCGGCTGGTTATGGTAGCCGTCCTTCCCGCCTGCCTTCTGACACATGCACTTGGCCCCCTCCCGCATTCCCCTGCCCCCAGCCCCGGATCCACCTTGTACTCCTGCACCGCCTCCTCGATAGGGACCACCCTATGGGGCCGGTTCTCCCAGGACTCGCTGCAGACGACACAGATGGGGCTCTGGTCATCCTCACAGAAGAGTCTGAGCAGCTCCTGGTGCACACCGCACAGGTCCCGGCTCTGGAAGGCTGGGTGCTGCCGCACCATCTCAGCCACCTGGGTCAGCCCGCGGTTGGGCCGCAAGTTCCTCTGGGGCGACAGCTCGCGGCACTCGGGGCAGGGGAAGGAGCGCCTCCACTTCCTGCCCCCCTTCCTGCCTTTGGCCTTCTCCCAGGTTAGCCGGATGCACTCGCGGCAGAAGTTGTGGCCACAGGTGGTCATCACGGGATCCGTGAAGTAGTCGAGGCAGATGGAGCATGTGGCCGCCTCCTGGAGGTTTCTGGCAAGTCCCAAGGCATCCATGTCTCCTGGGGAAGGAACACAATGTCCCTCACACCCTCCTCCAAGGAGCCCTGTCTTTGGCTGGCCCCACCCACGTTAGGGAGAATCATGCTAAGCTGGTTTAGAGTGCCCCCCAATATGTATGACCTATTTCCTTGGCCCCCCACTGACCTGTCTAGAGCAAGAATCCTGTTAGGCCAGTCTGGCAAGAATCCCCCTCCCCATGGCACCTCTTCATGATTTTCCATCACTGACCTGCCCCCCCACCCCTCTGCTCTTTGGCCATAAATCCCGACTTCTGCCCCCTATTTGACATGACCCAGTTCTCTGCAGGGATCTCTTTCCCCCTATTGCAATAACCCTGAACAAAGTGTTTCTGCTGTTCTAACTCTGGACCATCTGTGGTCTTCCTTGACAAGGTGTTGTGCAGAAAAGACAGTTGCGTGTGCATGCATGCCCAGAACGTAGACACATGAACACAGGTGTAACCGCAACTGTGAGCGCACACCCCACACACTGAGGCATGCACACACAGTATGCACACATGCACTCACACAAAGACTGCCCACATGCACAGGGCACGTGCACACGCACACATGGTATACACGCATGCACACATACGCACATGCACAGGGCACGCACACACGGTATACAGACATGCACAGGGCACGTGCACACACGCACACACATGCACAGGACACAAGCACACCCACACATGGTATGCACACATAGGCACGTGCACACGCACACACGCACACACGGTATACACACATGCACAGGGCACGTGCGCACACGCACACGGTATACACATGCACACATACACACATGCACAGGGCACATGCACACACGCACATGCTATGCACACACACAGGGCTCATACACGCGCACAGAGTTTGGCCTGCCACTACCCCTGACCTCATGCCCTGGAGGTCCAAAGCCGCCCAGGCGGGTCACGGGGGCTACTGGAGCCCTGTTAGAGGCTGGATTTGCACATCATTCCTGGGCTGCAGGCCCTACCCCAGCCCCAGTTTCTGCAGTCATCTGAAGGGGTGGGGGCTGGGTGCCTCAGACATTCCACGGTCCCTGACAGGGGTTTCAGTTTACCTGGAGCTGTCTCTGCAGAGACTTTGGGGTCAGTCTTGCTCTCAGCTCTCAGCCACCCCGAGGTGCACGCCTGCACACCCAGCAGAAGCAGGGGAAAGCGCGGCAGTCTGGTGGGTTGGGGGTCCGGCTCCAGGGGGAGCCCGGGTCAGTGACGACGGACAGGCCACCCTCCGTCCTTGCTCCTCTGTAAATGCGGGGGTCGGGTGGGGAAACCAGTTCGCCGTCTGCTTCCACTTTGTAACCATCTTCAAAGCGGGGTCTGCTACTGGGCCAGCAGTGCACGCGGTCCCGACCTGAGCCTCAGGGCCCACAGGGTGACCACCCGCCGGCCCCGGGGTCTTGAGGAACTGGTACTTACCGGGGAGGGGGCCGCGGGCCGCACCTCGAAGGGCGTCCGCAGCCAAGCGCGCAAACAGCGCCCGGGAAAGCCTGCGTTTGCGTGCTGACGACCATCGGAACGATGGCCACGGGGGCGCGGGGGGCCGCGGGGGGCGCAGGGCTTTGTGGCGTCAGCAGCCCGAGGGTGGGGGCGGGAGCCTCTTGACAGGCAAGGGCGAGCGCAGAGTCGGCGGGGGTGGGGGGGTGGGAAGTAGGGGGTTCTGGCAGCGGGGGTGGGGGGGGGGGAGGGCATGGTAGGGACTGGATGGGGAGCCGGCATAGGCCAATCCCGAGGATCTTTCTGAGAGGTAGGAGAAAGGGGGGTGTGGGCCTGCGGGGTGGAGGGGAGCCGGATATGGATCCCCAGTGCAGAAGACTAGAGAGGAAGAGAGCAAGTCTGGGCGTTGGGCGAGGTGAAGGGGTTGAAGGGGTCTCTGCAGAGGAGTGGGTAGATGAAGGGGGTCGCGGGGGGTGGCAGCAGGGTGCGTGCCCCATTGGGGGAGATGAAGGGAGGGCGCCCCGTTGGGGGAGGTGAAGGGGTCGCTGGGTGGGGGAAATGAAAATGGGGGTCGCCCCGTTTGGGGAAGTGGGGTGTCTGGGGGGAGATGAAGGGGGTTACCCCGTTGGGGAAGGTGAAGGGGTCACTGGGTTTGGAGAAAATAACAGGGATCGCCCCGTTGGGGGAGGTGAAGGGGTCGCTGGGGGGCAGATGAAGGGGGGTCGCCCCGTTGGGGGAGGTGAAGGGCTTCTCAGCCAGGCCTGCCGCAGACCTACCTCTCTGGTGGTGGCCTCGCTAGTGGTCAGAGCCGGGTAGAGGGGAGGGGGGCGGCATCCAGATCCAGGGGTAGGGAAGGGGGGGGCAACCAGGGGGGTGTGGGGGCTCCAGGCGGGGTCGACCCCTTGGGGTGTTGCCACCGCAGGAGGTGGCTTTGGCGGGTCGCTGCCCCCAACCCCGACCTAGCCCTGGCTGGTGGCTGCATGCCCGCAAGTCCTGGGTCCTGGGGGAGCGGACAGGTGAGGGAACTGAGCCTGGGCCCCCACAGGAGGGCGGGAAAGCAGTTGTGCGGGTGTAGACGCACGCTGGGACCGTCTGGCCGCTCATCCCGTGTGTGTGTGCGCGCGCGCGCGCGAGCGCGCCTGGGCAGTGCAGGGAGGAGGGGCGACAACTTGCTGAATCTAATCTCCCCTCCAGGAGGCCCTGACCCCTCTGTTGTCCTTTCCACCGGAAGGGCGGAGGGTATCTTTCATTTTAGGACATGGAGTCACAGAATGTTTAAAACTTTAATTAAAATTTTCAGGAAAGCACACAAGAAAGCAATGGATCCCATACTAACACCTTTTAGGGTGGTTGCTGTATCTGTCGTCCTGTCTTGTCTTGAAGGAAGAATGTTTGTGTTGTTTGAGCAAACCCCAGACACCCCTGCACGCACCTCCACCTGCTGCTTCCTGTAGGGCAGGAAATATCTGGAGCCCCCCCGGTTGCACTGACAGCAGACCGAGTATCCGGAGAAAATACTGCCTGTATTTTGTATGCATTGGGAGCCCGCAAAGGAACTAGCCGGCTTGTTAAATGGTAGAAGGCTTTTCAGAACATGAGGTCTACACCTGACTTAGTAGGGGAAATGGAGGGGAGAAATGGCCTCTATGGGTCCAATGAGCAGGTCCGTTTAGGAAAGGCAAGCGGGTTTTGAGGAGAACGGGAGGTAAGAAAGCTTGTTTTTTTTTTTTTTTTTTTTTTTTTTTGGTAAGAAAGCTTGTGATTTTGCTTGTCTGTACGGCTATGAGTGGTCCATCTCCTTCGGGTGGGAAGCCGCTCCCAGAGGGGTTTAGGGCAGCCTCACTTCCCAGACCTTGCTTTTAGTCTAACAAGAGACGCTCCCAGGAGGCTTTCTTTTGCATCAGTTGGATCTTAAGTGTCTTTATCTTAAAATAATGCGGCAATTCTGGGGTCTGGAGTGGCCCCCACACTTCCCACACATCTCCAAAACTGTGTTTCTTGCATAACCACCACACACAGTAATTCCTTGTTTTATTTGCCCTCTGGTCCTTACCCAGACTCCACCTCTTACCTCAACAGTGACTGTTAAAAAAAAGTTGGTTTGAATCAGGATCCAAACAAGGTGATGAGGTCTCTTAGGACTTTAGATTGGTACTGTTCCTCTTCTCTTTCTTACGTACTTTTCCTCATCCTCCATCATCTAAATGCCGGTGACTGCAGGCCTCAGGGCAGGTGTCCTATGAGTCTGTCACCTTGCTTCTTTAGACTGTTCCTGATGTTATCCCTCCATCCTGGGAACGCCTTGCCAAAGGAGGTTTGCTTTATTTTTTTAAAAGATTTTATTTATGTATTTGAGAGAGAACACATGAACAGAGGGGAAATGCAGAGAGGAGAGGGAGAAGCAGACTCTCTGCGGAGCAGGGAGCCTGATGCGGGGCTCGATCCCAGGATGCTGGGATCACAACCCGAGCTGAAGGCAGACACTTCACCATCTGAGCCACCCAGATGCCCCTAGGGAGGTTTGCTCTAGAGCTGAATTTTGCACCAGGGCTACACAGTAGGATCCCCCCACCCCCATCTTGCCCTGGGATTTTGTTTTTAAGTAGGCTCCATTCCCAGGGGCTCTAAATCATGACCCTGGGATCAAGACTCAGGTGCTCAACCGACTGAGCCACCGAGGTGCCCCAGCCCCCTGTGTGGGGCCAGCTCAGAATCTCTGCAGAGGGGCCTGGTACTGCTGTTTGTAAAAATCTCAGACAGCATCTCACTGGAAGAACAAACACAATGAAAAGTAAGAGTTTTGGGTCTCCCTGTGGAACATAAGAGACTCCCCCACCTTTCCCCTTCAGAATTTCTTTTTCTGTCCCTTGAAAATGCATGCCAATCTTTTCAATGGCTGAAGAAAGACCGGGGAACATCTCAGGGGCGCTCTGATTGGATGCTCATTCAACAGCAAACTTGCTTTCTCCTCGCACTTTGTGGAGACGTTTTCTGGGTTGGGAGGAGATTTCATGGTATGTCATTATATTTCTGTGTCAATAACGTGCCACCACAGTTGGAACTGGGTTGGTTCTGGACGTGATCCGATTCACTCAAAGATTTGGATGTTTTGTTTCTGTCCACATTTGCCACTTTTAGTCAGAGAAACAGAAACACAAAATTAAAGCCTGAAAGGAAATATAAAGTTTCAACTGTTGATTTTTGTGCTTTTAGAGCATTTGTTCTTCTAAGGTGTAGGCCAGGGAAATCTTCCTCTCTACCCTCTTAGGTTCTAACCCTGAGGCCTGTGAATTAAACAGACAAACCACAGAATAATAGAGGAAAAGCATATGCAATTTTACTTGATGTTATTTTTTTACATCCCTGTGGGCTTCATAGTAAGATTTCAAAAACCCAAAGCAACAGACTCGGGGGCTTATATACAATTTTAACAAAGGGTGATCTATTGTGCAGAACTGACAAGACAAAAGGGAGTTTGGGTGGTAAATGTATGTGGGGAAACCAACTAAATCAGCGTTATTTAATAATGTTGGCTTATGCAGACTCAGAAGTGGGGGTTGAGGAGCTAGATCAGGCATCAAGGAGGGGGGGTCTCACCAAGTGGACTCAGCAGGATTCTTGCTACAACTGGGCTGTGCAGGGTTGGACACGGAAACCCACGGAGGAGGTCTTGAGGAGGACAGGGCTCAGAGGAGCCTGGCTGGGGGTTCAGGAGAGTCAAGCTTGAGCTTGCACTAAGATCCCCTGCGGTCTGTGGGAGCGGGGGGGATGTGCACACTCTGCAGTGACGTCTGGGGCCACTGGGGGAACCACCCGCATTCCTGTATACCTTAGGGGCAGTATTGTATGGAATAAAGCGTGGAGGAAATTGAACTACATTCAGTGTCACTTTTGGGTGTCATTTCCCCAGAGCTGTGGACTCTTGGTGTCAGATGGGGCCCCGGTGGTCCAGCCACCTCGCAAAGCAGGACGCTTTCTGCATAACCCTCACAATGGGCACCCGGCTCCCAGTGAATGAGATGCTTGCCTGTCCTCTCTCAGGAATCTGGTGGGAATGGTCTTAGGTCAAGTGCACAACCGTGCAACCTCAAGGCCTGGTTCTGGTTTCGCCTGTCTTCTTCTACCTCATGTTGTCCTTCCAATGTCTGGAGGTCTCGATTTTTTTTTCAAAGATTATTCATTTATTTGAGAGAAAGAGAGAGAGCACAAGCAGAGGAAGGGGCAGAGGGAGAGGGAGAGGCGGACTCTCTGCTGAGCAAGGAGCCCGACACAGGACTCGATCCCAGGACCCTGAGATCTTGACCCGAGCTGAAAGCAGACGCTTCAGGGACTAAGCCACCCAGGCGCCCCTGGAGGTCTCAACTTTGTTGTTCACCCCACACCTTTCCCCCGACCCCTCTCTACCAGATTATAGCCCCAATACCTGCGTTGCTGTCACCATTTCCTGCTGATGTGATTGTTTTTATCTACCGTTACCAGAGAACCTGCTGTATCTGTCAGGATTTTATGGCCGAAACAAACAGTCCTGCATCCCGGATGCAGCAGATAGCCACAGCAAAGGTTATTTCTCACTCACTACATGTGCACCATGGGCCTTGTAGGGGAGGGGGAAATCTTTCCTTCTACCCTCTTATGTTCCGTACCCGGGGTCTGTGAATTAGACAACAGCCAGATTAATAGGTGAGAAGGCATACAAATTTTATCTTATGTTTTTAATTGTCTGTGTATGGGGACTTCACAGAAAAGAAGTGAAAACACAAATTGGCCTCTATACCATTTTAACAAAAGCTGGTAAGCTGTGAAGTACCAAAGACTTGTTCATGCAGACTCATCTCAGTCCCATCTCTGGTGATGAGAGTCACTGTCCTCTTCCTGGCACAGGAGAGGGGCACCTTTGCAAACAGAAATTGTCTGTCCAAATAGGAATTTCTGCTTTGCTTGTAGAGAGAATAGGCGGGAGGGCAGAGAGCTCCCCCTGCATTTGCTGTTTCTCAGTTGCCTTCAGCTCAAAATCACCCGTCTGCAAAGTGGTGTATTGTGGGGTCACACACCCTGATCCCCTTCAGTCTCTTGGTGATTGCTCTGCAATGCGTCCTCATGCTGGAGGCCAGGTCACGGGCTCTACCATGGGATGGTGGTCACCAGCAAGCAAAGCCAGTTATTCCAGAACATTTAGGAAGGTTGGTCCTGCGACTTAACGAGGGCGCAGTTACTCTGAGGCTTTGGGACCCGAGCCACAGGCGCTGTAGTGACGGCTGGAAGCGTCTGTTTAGGTCTCTGCTCCTTCCCACATCCCCGTGCGGACAGCTGAGACCACGGAGCCTTCCCTGCTTTGGGGTGTGCTCTTACCCTTTTCTGGGTGACCCTCTTCAGGGCAGAGAGCTGCCCGTCTGTCCAGTCTGCACCCTCTCCCCCCGGGCAGTGGTGGGCATGGGTCAGACCTCTTTCTCGGGGTAGTTCTAGTCTCCACCTGCCTCTCTTCTTGTGGACGGGGTCACCGGACCATTGAAGGCAGTTCCCGGTGGGGCCCGTCAGACAGGCAGGGGCAGGTGCACAGCTGGAAAAGCCTGGAATCCAGTTCCTGGCTTCCTGGACCAGCCTCATGCAACAAAAAATGCAATGACCCACGGCCCTCCGAGGCTCACGCCTTTCAGTTTACCCCCCAGAGTGAGAGTGAAGGAAGTCTCTCTTGCCCCCACACCTAGAAACTCCCGTCTAAGTGGCAGGGAGAAAAAGAACTAATTCTAATGCTACTTTTAAGTGTAAGGATAATGTATCCGTCAGCTGAGGCTGCGTAACAAAGACCAAAGCCTTGGCGACTCCAACAACACACGTACTGTCTCCCTGTCCTGGGGGCTGGGAGTCTGAGCTCCGGCGTGCGTGGGGCTGGTTCCTCCCGAGGCCTCTCTCCCCGGCACGCACACAGGCTTACTGTGAAAAACATGCTTCCATGTGTTTCACAGACTTTCAATCCTCTGCTTCGCTTCTGATCCCCACATGTTGTGGGGGGAGGGGTGCTTCTTTCACACCAAGCAAGCCTGTGACAGAGGCGGGGGGCCTGCAGTGTGACTCAGCTCCAACCGTCTATGTGGGGACAGCGTCAGACCCCACAGCTTCAGGGTTCAGGCCCACTGCCCCCCCACTGCAGATGCCAGTCCCAAGTGCGGGGTCCCCCGTGCTCTGACCTGCTGGCTACAGATCCGAGGTTCCCATGGCCGCCTCCTCGGGTTCCATTAACTCGCTGGAGTGGCTCACAGAAAGACATTTCACTTGCTGGCTTCCCAGCTTGTTGCAAAAGGCACAAGAGGATATGAATCAGCAGCCGCAGCGAGATCTGGAGTGGTCCCGCCTGCAGGAACTTTTGTCCCCATGGAGCTGAGGGTGCACCACGCTCCCTGCATGTGCATGCTTTCTTGTCCCCCGGCCACAGCTGCCATCGTCAGGGGCTTTCCAAACTCACCTCATCGACACACTCAGGTGTGGTGGGCAGGGGCTTGCTGTAAATAGCAAAAGTCACTCTTATCACCTGAATCACAGAAATGTCTGAAGGGTTTGAGACCAAACACATTTATTATAAGCCACAGTATCACAGCTGTCCTCTCTCCACAGCCTCACATGGGCGTCCCTCTGTGCGTCTCTGCATCCTAATCTCCTCTTCTTCTAAGGACATCGGTCCTATGAGATTAGGACTGACCATAGGGACCGCATTTTCTCTTATGAACACTTTAAAGGCCCTATCTCCAAACACAGCCTCGTTGAGTTCCTGGGCGTTGGGGTGCAGCACAGGGATTTTGCAGGGTTTGGCGGTGCCCACAATTCGGCCCATCACAGACAGTGGGCACACTGAGGCTCCGTCCCCTTACTTGGACTGTCTGATGTGACTTTCTGACAGTCTTCTGGGCCAGATGCTGCTGACATGCTTATGTCCGGGGCACAGACGTGGGAAGAAGGGAGCATCTCCCGCAAGGACCGCAGGACAGGCTCAGTGGGTTGGTTGGAGATGATGGACCGTGGGGCTGGCCAGCGATCAGGAGTCGTCTGCTGGCCTGAAACCCTCCTGGGAACGCCACGGGCACAGCCTGAAAGTGGGCCCTGTACTCAGAGGGCAAGGAGACACCCCAGAGACGGGCTTGCAGACGACAGTCGTAGGAGGCAGAGGGAACTCACCAGGCTTGTCTTGGGCGGCAGCAAGGCCAACAGACCCCCACAGCAGCCTGCCAAATCTGATAAGCTTGTGAAGAGGCCTTGGCCGGGCTCAGTGACCACACCACGCAGGCGTCTTAAGCGCTCACCGGCGTCTGAAGGCTCCGTCCTTGGAGCAGCCCCTGCGGGCGGGAGAGGCAAGTGGAACCCACACTCTTAGGACCCAGGGTGGTGACAAGCCTCCGAGCGCCCGGGTCCTGCTCTCGGCTCGATAGGTGGTCACGCCGTTTTTACGTCATTCCCCAACGCTGCCCCTTAAGAAGGGCCACCGATGAGGGTCCCCTGGTTCCTCCGGACTCTCCGATCAGGAAGCTGAGCATGCTCCCTGCCATACCCCAGCCACAGAGCAGCCCCAGCTCCCTGCGTCCCCCACCCCCGCGGGAGCACCAACCCCCCAGGAATCTTGCCGAATACACCTGCTGTGCCCTCCCCTCCGCGATGCCCGTCCGGGGCTCCGGGCCAGGACTCTTGTTTCCTCTCGGGATTGCGAGAATCCCTACGGCCCCTCCTTTTCTTTCAGCGTGGCAGGGGATGCTCTTCGCCAGCTGGATGTCCTTGGGCATGATGGGGACGCGCTTGGCGTGGATGGCGCACAGCCTGGTGTCCTCGAAGAGCCCCAGCAGGCAGGCCTCGCACGCCTCCTGCAGGGCCATCACGGCCGAGCTCTGGAAGCGCAGGTCGGTCTTGAAGTCCTGCGCGATCTCGCGCACCAGCCGCTGGAACGGCAGCTTGCGGATCAGCAGCTCGGTGGACTTCGGGGAGCGCCGGATCTCGCGGAGGACCACAGTGCGGGGCCGGTGGCGGTGCGGCTTCTTGACGCCGCCGGCGGCCCGCGCGCTTTGGCGAGCCACCTTAGTAGCCAACTGCTTGCGGGGCGCCTTGCCGCCGGTCGACTTGAGCGCGGTCTGCTCGGTGCGTGCCTTGGCCGAGGCGTAGCTAAAGTACTGAACCCGCGGCTGCTGCAGATCGCCTACAGCTGACGCCCCAGCAGCGCCTGCTTTTATAGAGGCTGCAGCCTCCCCATTGGCCGGCCGCTGGGTGGCGCGATGGCAGGCTGCGCTGTGATTGGCCCGCTGCACGCTCCGCTCGGCCGCCTGCCCCTTATCCGCGCCCGGCGCCGGCGTGACTGCCAGTCAGGTCGGGGTCTCGCAGCGGTCAGACGAGCTTGTTCCCGCCCTCGCAGCAGCGGGGCAGGGTCGGGCCACGTGGCCGCCGGCGTCGCCTCTCCCCGCACGGCCCCCTCCTTTCTCCCTCAGCACTCCCCCTGGCTCCCGAACGCTCCGGGGGCGAGAAGAACCTTCTAGAAGTGTGCCTTCTGCGTTCGGCCTTTCCATGGTGACAGTGTTGAATTTTCCCAGCCGCCGGTGAAAGGCCCAGCACAGGGCTGGGCACAGACCCTCCGCGTCCCCATCCTTCCCTCGGGGGTGATTAGTGCGCTGCCCGTCCGCACAGCTGGACCCCAACGACCCCAACAAGGTGCTGCTGCGCCCAGATTGGGTTCAGTGGCCGTGCTTCCCCAGCTGCTGCCCTCTGGCCCCTCCTGGGGCCTGGCCCCCCAGCCCCGGGCGTCCCCCTGCAGCACTCGCTGTTTCTAGTCTGTGCCCTCCTCCCTGTGAGAGAAGAGCCCGCATTGCCCAACCCTTGAGGCACTTGCGGACCCCAAGTTTACGGCCCACGGGTGGGCCAAATGTGCCATCCCAAAACGTGCAAGGTCCACCCCAGGGTAATTTTGAGCTAAAGGCACTTGGAAATGCAAGCAGACGCAAGGGGAGAGCTCAAAGCCCTCGTTTTCTTCCCGAAAGCAGAGCTGAGATTCCCATGTGAAAGCTGACAGGTCTACAGCTGCAGAGAAGAAACATTTTCATCATCATGGAGGGCAAGTGCTCTTCCTCTGCCCTTCCCCCACCCCCACACTTGCTCGCTCTCTAAAATAAAATCTTAAGAAAAAGAATTTAAAAGCTTTTGTGAATCTGTTTTTGTTTTTGTTTTTGTTTTTTAAGAGCCCCTGCTGAAGCCTAAGATGAGTAGAGGGAAGACTTTTCCTGCCCTGTTGCAAGAGTCTTCTCTCCTCCCTTGTACTAGTCCTTTCAGATAAAAGTCTCTCCTTACTAAATCTGGGCTTTTTTTAGTTGGTCATGATTGTCACACAGAATCTCTGCCGTCGTCCCCAAGTCAGGTCGGATTGGCTAGGTGCCAGGGAGAAGAGCTGAGGGACCGCCCCAAGGTTGCCTGGCCCATATGGTGTGGGTCTGACACAGTCAGAAATAGGGAAAGAGAGCCCATGCTTTGAGTCATTTGACCTTGGCCAGTGTATAGCTTCCCTGGGGGCCCAGAAGCAGGGCCCACACCCTTGAAAAGCTGAGAATTTCTTTATCACACGTAAAACCTCTTTTTAGGTGGTTCCGTTAACAGTTTTAATGATCTCAAGAACTGAGTTTCCTGTGGTTCCTACTCAGAGGTGTCAAGGCCCAGGGGGAAATCATCCCCTAGGAAAACTCCCCAAGAGGAGAGAGATCATCTCTCTGAGGACAGCCGCAGAGGCAAACATTCCCCCCGAGGTTCTGGCTTGTCTGGGACACGTGCATTTTACGGATGAGGTTGTGTGTGCTCTGTGCATACATTTGGTGCCAATCACTGTGATGAGGAGAACAAAGGCAAGAGAAAAGCTGCTATAAGGAAACCCCCTTACAGCTTGTAGCCCCCTGATAAATCCCTCAGCGGGCCAGAGTGTGACCTACAACTCTCCAGGAACTCGCGGGTGCCCTAATGTTGACGTTTTATTTGGGACTAGAGACAACCTTCTCTTGACAATAGCCAGACCTCTGGGGTTCCGTAGACCTCACTTTTAGCCTACAGAACTTCCTTAGAAACATACGTTATCTCTACCCTCCCTCCACACACGGAAAGTAGTCATCAGCCACCCCTGCCGCTCTTTCTGCCCGTGGGTCTTGTCCCTGTGCTTTAAGAGAAACACCTCTGTCCACCAAAGACGTCTCAAGAATTCTTTCTTGACCATCGCCTTTGGTGACCCCGCTCCAGCTGTTCAGCCTCCCTCCTGCGTCTGAGGGAATCCCTCCCTGAGCTAGAACATTCTTTCCTTTGCTCTCACCACTGACGGTGTTTGCAGGTGCAACTCGGGAAATACGGGCTTGTGTGAAGCACTTTGTTGTAGGTCCTTTGGGATTTGAGGTCCCAGGTGGTTGACCTCGTGCATCATTTCTGTGGAGTCCTAGGGGAGCTATCGGGACTTCCAGGAGCTCACTCCACAGGTGGAGTGGGGTCCTTCCAGGGGCAGGTGGTCGTGGATAAACAGTGCACGAAGGTTCCCCCAGAGCGGACAACTACAGAGGACGCTCAGGTGTCCAGGTGCTGGGAGGACCCTTCCGATACCCCCCAACTGACATCCCGTTCCTCCGGCCCCCTTTATGGGAAATTCCTGCTGAGCATCTGCAGGTCCTGCCCTCCCGTTCTCTGGCCCTGAACACAGTGAGCGTTGAATTCACGTTGCCCAGAACCCCATGAGGTGACGGCATTCAGTGCCAGGAGTCTGGGGCGCACCCCAGGCACCCACCGTCACCCACCATGGAGCCTTTGGAGGACCCGTGAGGCACCAAAGTGCCTCCAAAACTGCAGACTGGGCCTGGTTCTCCAGCCATGATGGGGTTCCCCTAACAGGTGTGCTCCCTGTTTAGACCCATTTCATAGGAGGCTCCGCTTGGGGTCGTCTCCACTGTGATGATTCCCCTTGGCGTCCACAGTAGGAAAGAACTCTGCCACGGGGTTCAATCCATGTCCTGCTAACGCTTTGTAACTTTTTCCTTTTTAGGAAGTCTTGTTTTCTGTTTCGGTGAATAGGTGGCAAGAATTTAATTCTTTTTCTGTTTTTGGCCTCAGGAATTCCTCTGGCAGTTCGGTGAAGCTCAGAATATTTTAAAACATTTAAAAATGCATACCATGAAATGTCTCAGAATGTTTTTAAATGCATGACATTTTTTATTTTTTTTAAAGATGTATTTATTTGAGAGGGCGAGAAAGAGAGAGAGAGAGCACATGAGAGCGGGGAGAGTCAGAGGGAGAAGCAGACTCCCCGCTGAGCAGGGAGCCCGATGTGGGACTCGATCCCGGGACTCCGGGATCATGACCTAAGCCGAAGGCAGTCGCTTAACCAACTGAGCCACCCAGGCGCCCTGCATGACATTTTTTAGAACTGCAAAGGAAATCGGTGGTGCTGAAATAAATTGTCAAAATGTATACAAATTAATTATGTGTATACGATACATACAGTTGTACGTGTATAAATGTGCATCTTATTACTGCAGTAAATGCAAAGTTCTACCAGGGAAGGACTTGTTCCTTTTGCCTCGGTGATTCTGACCACGTCTCTCTTGGCACTTCCGTCCCTCCGCGTACATACCCGTCTGTCTACTCTATCCCCTGGAGCCCTTAGCATAATATCACAGCTGTTTTAAATCCCCGGTCTGCTAATTCCAACACCTGTGTCAGCCTGCGTCTGGTCCTGACGGCTGTTTAGCTCTTCAGACGGAGTTTTCCTCGCCTGTGGGCATGTCTGGTAATTTCTGGTTGGAAGCCAGACATGCGGTTCATGCTGGGTGATGAGAACTCGAGTGAGTCAGCTTCGAGGGGGAGGGTCTGTGCTGCTCCGGGTGTGGGGGGTTGGGCTGCACTTAGCGTGTAGGGTAGCTCCAGGCCCCAGAAGCTCCTAATACCCCTAGGGTCCTCGTTTGTGTGCCCTGCTGTCTTTGTGCTTCCCGAAGAACCCCGTCTCTGATGGAGTGGCTCTTCGGCCCTCCCCGCTCTGACCCCCTGGCGGGATGCTGCTGGGGCGGTGGTAGGCCATGGGCAGGCGGAGCGTGCCCCTCTGTTTAAGTCTCAGCCTCTTCACGGCCCATGTCGCTGGGCTGTGACCCTCACAGGAGCCTCATAGGGGAAGGCTGGCATTTGCACAGGGCCCGAGGTGGGAGCGCACAGCTCCTAATTCTGCTCACCATAGGGAAACTCAGGGAACACAGGGGCACCTAGAAAAAGAAGGAAACGCAGACAGCACCTGGTGTTGGTGACTTTTGTGCACTGGCTTGACTGCTGTGTAGGGCACCCAGATTACCCACGAATCTGAGTGTGTCTGTGAGGTGTTTCTGGCTGAGATTCCCTTGTGAATGGATGGACTCAGTACAGCCCATGGCTCCCTCCAATGTGGGTGGGCATCACTGAGGCCGCTGAGGGCCAGGATAGAACAAAGGGTGGAGGAAGGAGCCCTTCCGTCTGGCTGAGGAGTTAGGGCGTCCATCCTCTCCTTGAGGCTCCTCATTCCCAGGCCCTCAGACTCAGAGTACATTATATGTATAATTGTATATATGTGATACAGATATCTTACTAATAAAAGGATTAATAAGAACGATATATCTAAATATCTTATTAATTCTATTTGTAGGGAGCACCCTAACTGATACACACCTTTTCAGACAAAAGTGAAGGTAAACGGAACAAAAGCCTCCTACACCCAGGGGCCGCGGCATTTGAGAGCGTGCTAGATGTCGACGCAGGTGGGGGTGCGGGTGAACTGGATGGAGGTGCCGGGGCCCATTGGGGAAGTCAGGGAACCCGGGTTAGATTGTATAGGTTACAGGCAGTCAAATTTTTGAGTATTTTAGGAGAGATGAGTGCTTTTACGGATGGCACCCCATTTAGTGCCGGCTCTCACCGGGTGCATGACTTCCGAGAGCCGTTCTGCCACTTCATCCCTCGAGGGGCAGATGAGCTGGCCAGGGTCCCTATGTACGGGGCCACCAAGGATGTCACCAAGTACACCAGCTCTGAGTGCGTTTTCGGAGCTTCAGAGTACGGGTCAGGCCCTGCAGCAGCTCTCTCCAGAGACCCCTGCAACTCTTTCCTCCAGGTTCCAGCAGGAAACACAGCGACACAGCATGTGGATTCGGAAAACCGGTTTATTTGGCTTATAGATAGTGCTCCTCCTCTGTGACGGGCTGAAGTGTATCCCTCCCTAGGTTCCTATGTGCGAGAACTGACATCCGACCCCTCTGAAGGTGACTGTGTTTGGAGACCGAGTCTTCAGGCAGGTCATTAAGGTAAAGTGAGGTCATTAGAGTGAGCC